TTGCTAATTCCTATCGTCAATTGTGGCTTTTAACAACTATTGATAGAATAGAATCCATTGGAATGATCTTGACGAAGAAAGCATCGGGTAAAATCTTTATTTTTAAATCATTCCAAGGCATTCTGAGTCGATATTGCCAAAAACTTGAAATGTTGAAATTTGTCGGATAGCAAACTGAAATGGGTTTGAACCCCCTCCCCCCTAACTAGATTTATTTAGTTTTCTGTCCGACATCGAACTTTTGATGCCTCCCCTTAATGGGTTGAATAAGCCAATGTTTGATAAATGGCCCCTCTTCTCCTAAACTATAGGTTCAATAATTCATTATCCCACCGAACGAAGTTCGAGAGGGATACAGGAAAGCCGTCCGTCTGTCTGTTCGTACGTCCGTCTGTCCGTCCGTCCGTCTGTTTTTCCGGGGGATAACTCAAATACCGTTTCACGGATTTGATTCAAATTTTATAGGCTTATGCCTTATGGGTGTAGGACCTCTGCTCGAGAAGGAATTTTCAATATGGCCACTGAATTCAAAATGGCCGCCATTTTTCGTAAAAAATGTAATCTTTAATAACTCAAATACTAGTTTGCGGATTTGGTTCAAATTTTATATGCTGATGCCTAGAGACACAGTAGATATGTTGGAGTAAAAATTTTAAAGATGGCGGCTAGATTTCAAAATAGCGGCCATTTTTCGTAAAAAAACTTAATCTTTGATAACTCAAATACCAGTGAACAGATTTGGTTCAAATTGTATACGATGATGCCAAGGGACACAGTAGATCTGTTCGAGTTACAATTTTCAAGATGGCCGCTGAATTTCAAAATGGCGGCCATTTTTTCGTAAAAAACGTAATCTCTGGTAACTCAAATACCAGTGAACGGATTTGGTTCAAATTTTATATGATGATGCCTAGAGACAAAGGAGCTTCGCTCAAGATGGGATTTTTGAAATGGCCACTGAATTTCAAAATGGCAGCCATTTTTCGTAAAAAAACGTAATCTTTGATAACTCAAATACCAGTGAACGGATTTGGCTCAAATTTTATATGAAAATGCCTAGGGACACAATAGATCTGTTCAAGAAAGAATTTTCAAGATGGCGGCTTGATATTCAAAATGGCGGCCATTTTTCGTAAAAAAGGTAATCTTTGATAACTCAAATAACAGTGAACGGATTTGGCTCAAATTTTATATGATGATGCCTAGGGACAAAGGAGATCTGTTTGAGAAAGAATTTTCAAGATGGTGGCTGATGTTCAAAATGGACGCCATTTTTCGTAAAAAACGTAATCTTTGATAACTCAAATTCCAGTGAACAGATTTGGCTCATTTTTTATGTGATGATTCCTAGGGACAAAGGAGATCTGTTTGAGAAAGAATTTTCAAGATGGCGGCTGATGTTCAAAATGGACGCCATTTTTCGTAAAAAACGTAATCTTTGATAACTCAAATTCCAGTGAACAAATTTGGCTCATTTTTTATGTGATGATTCCTAGGGACACAGTAGATCTGTTCGAGAAATTTTTTTCAAAATGGCGGCTAAATTTCAAAATAGTAGCTATTTTTCATAAGAAAAAACGTAATCTTTGATAAGTCAAATACCAGTGAACAGATTTGGTTCAAATTTTATTTGCTGATGCCTAGAAACACAGTAGCTCTGTTCGAGAAAAAAATTTTAAGATGGCGGCTTATCTTCAGAATGGCTGCCATTTTTCATTTTCGTAATCTTTGGTAACTCAACTGCCGTTCGGTGGGATTTGCTACTCCGTGAAGTTGCTGTTTTTCCTCAAAGCTATTGTGATTGAAAACTTCAACTTGGCCAAACTTCCAATATGTTTGACTTTGAGGATCAAATCTGGTAACATATTCAACATTTTTTCCAAGTTGATTGATATTAAGCATATTTTTTTGATTTGTATTGCTAGGTGCATTAATGATGTAATATTCTTCTCCAGGCAGAGACTAGGACAGTCTGTTTTAACTGGTAAATGAAGCTCCTTCCCCTTTATCACAGACTTAAATCATTAAATCATGCTAACCATCATTCTTGTCTTTCATATATTGGGCAAGTTTTACTTCTTTATTTTTCATTTTTTCATTTCAGTTTTTCACTCCGATTTTCAATATTTTTACATATTAAAATGCATCCATATGCCTTTATTTATGGATCTGTCATCTGTCTAGTTATAAAATAAAGCCGGAATTGTTAATTATTTGAGCTATTTTGAGATTTAATAATTTTTAAGATTGAACCCTTCAATGACTGTATCATGTTCCACGTAGGTTGGTAGGTGGGTATGAGGTAGGAGGTTTTTTTATACAAAGCCGACATTAAATGTTTGATGCCTCCCCTAAACTATCTAGAAGACTACTAAGGGCTCCCAAAGAGAGGGTAGTGGGGTCGCTTTTGTCACTTTTAAGATTTCAAAATTCTTACTTTATCACATTTAAAATTTACTTGTCATATTTTGTCAGATTCATTCCTTTTTAGACAGTCAAAGTATTTAATGCACTAAATAGTCTGTTATGTTCCATTGTTTGATTGCTGGTTAGAATAAGTCATCTTAACTAGCATCAATTTATAATTTTATAGGCTTATGCCTTATGGGTGTAGGACCTCTGCTCGAGAAGGAATTTTCAATATGGCCACTGAATTCAAAATGGCCGCCATTTTTCGTAAAAAATGTAATCTTTAATAACTCAAATACTAGTTTGCGGATTTGGTTCAAATTTTATATGCTGATGCCTAGAGACACAGTAGATATGTTGGAGTAAAAATTTTAAAGATGGCGGCTAGATTTCAAAATGGCGGCCATTTTTCGTAAAAAAACTTAATCTTTGATAACTCAAATACCAGTGAACAGATTTGGTTCAAATTGTATACGATGATGCCAAGGGACACAGTAGATCTGTTCGAGTTACAATTTTCAAGATGGCCGCTGAATTTCAAAATGGCGGCCATTTTTTCGTAAAAAACGTAATCTCTGGTAACTCAAATACCAGTGAACGGATTTGGTTCAAATTTTATATGATGATGCCTAGAGACAAAGGAGCTTCGCTCAAGATGGGATTTTCGAAATGGCCACTGAATTTCAAAATGGCAGCCATTTTTCGTAAAAAAACGTAATCTTTGATAACTCAAATACCAGTGAACGGATTTGGCTCAAATTTTATATGAAAATGCCTAGGGACACAATAGATCTGTTTTAAAATTTACTTGTCATATTTTGTCAGATTCATTCCTTTTTAGACAGTCAAAGTATTTAATGCACTAAATAGTCTGTTATGTTCCATTGTTTGATTGCTGGTTAGAATAAGTCATCTTAACTAGCATCAATTTATATTCAGAACAAATTATCTATTTTTGTCACTCTCAAAACACTTGTCAGTCCGATAAATGTGCAAAATTGTCACTTGCAAGGATTGATTTGTCACATTTGTTCGTTTTTAAGTACCCCAAAGTCCCATTTAGTCCCATTTTTAGAGGCCAGGTCGCCTTATCACTTACCCCTTGGGGAGTCCTCTACTACATGTAGCTGTTGAGGGGTTAGCTATTCGATTCACACCACACCAGTGATACATTATTGAAATGTCAGTAAGGTCAATTTATGTCCCTTCCTGAGGGCACGCTAGCCAATACAAATGAGACTGTAGTAGCAACTTGCTATCTATATCTCTTCTAGTGATCCTTTTGTTCATGGTTCCTTTAATGCTATCCTTGTAATTTCTATATAATTTGTACACATATCATCCCTTGTATCCCCATTGTATTTTTTCACAGCAAATGCTCATCTTTTTTTATTTCAAAGTATAATGTAATGATATGCTGTTCATGGATAGTTCATTCAAGTTATTACAATGACACCATTGGAAAGCTGTATTTGAACAAACAGTTAGACATGTAGATAACCTTTCAACAATACTTTGAATTTTCGGAGGTTTCAGCATCTGACCAAACATTTATGACTGAGAATTTGAAGATTGAAACAGTAATTTATACATGCTATTGAGAATATGTATTTTTGTCGTAAATTGTTTAACATCTATGACTTTTCAGGATTGTGATTATAAAACTGCCAGTTCATGAAAACTATAACTGAGTATGTCATTTGAAAAAAATGTAACAGAGCTTTTTGAAAAATATCTTCATCTTTCAAACATATTAATGTTCCATGATTAGAAAGGTTCAATCTCCAAATCTCATACTCCATTACAGGTGTATACCTTGAATCAGGCAAAATCAGTTCACTCCATTAACAGACTTGATAAATAGAAACCATAAATGCTAAAGTGTGAAAACAATTTCTTTTTCCGGTCCCATTTTTAATTGGTCATACATGTAGGCTTCTATGTAAAAAAAACTTAAAATGTGAGCACATACAAATCTGAACATTTTTGACCAATCCAAGTGGCATTCATATGAGACATTTTCTTCTGTAATTGTCATTCCCTAGTGTGGCCTACTTAAAGGACCTCTGAAAAGATTTATGTATTTGTTAAACTGAACTGTCTAGCTCCACCAATCTTTAATTGATTTTGGATTATATATTTACTTATTTCATTGATACGCTCGCTTTAAATTACAGTTCCACAATAGCATCCCTCAATGGCCAGAGGGCATTATATAGGAAGAATGATGGGGGCTTGGGGATGACAGGCAAACAGGGCTCCAGACCGGAGCAAGTTTGACAAGACACAGTCCATGTAGTTTATTTTGCAATTTGGATGTTAATAAACCATTCAAATCAAAATATATGTAATTCCCAAATAACAGTACAAGTGATATAATTTGCTACATTTTAGTTTTGAATTTATTCTAATGTAACAATCATTTTGATTTCATTACATTCAATATTTCAATCTATTTCAATTTACTTTAAATGTAATGAAGATTCCTTAAATCATGGTATTTGTCCATTTGTCGTCATCATCATCCTCTGATCCTCAAAAATATTAATGCCACCAGCAGTTCCAACAATGCCACCATGGCCAGCCTCCTGTAACAGAATTCCACCAACACCACCAACTGCATGTCCAATGCAGCCATGGATAGGTTGGATAGCGATATGTGGTCTTGTAGCAGAAATAACACCTAAAATAGCAAAGTCAACAGTTTTCATTACTTACATATTATTTGCTGTGATTTAAAGCTATGGCTCAGAGTTTTCTGAAAAAAGTCTGACTTTTAATTATCCCAACGAACGAAGTATTGTCTTTATGATTTGTGCCTTTGAAACTCCTCAGTGTTCACCCAAAAGCTTAAATTGGAAATTCTGATATATCTCTAATGTATGACTATAATATCTGCCAATAATTTAATCAAGGGTAGAGTAGATGGTAAATATTACATTGTGACATGCATAATTATCCCATCGAACGAAGTTTGGAGGGATATAGGGAACGCCTCCGTCCGTCCGTCCGTCCGTCCGTCCGTACGTACGTCTGTACGTCCGTCCGTCCGTCCGTCCGTCCGTCCGTCTGTCCGTCCGTCCGGGCAATAATTCAAATACCGTTAGCCCGATTTTGTTCATATTTTGTACACATATACCCTATGGGGGTAGAAGTTCTGCTCGAAAGCCGATTTTCAAAATGGCCGCTCATTCAAAAATGGCGGCCATTTTAGTGCCGATTTTACTGTAATTTAGGTGCAATATGTAAAACTGTAATAGCAATATGTTTTAAATGTAAAAAAATTATATAGGACATTGATAAAGCTAGAAATGTAGATATTAAAGAAGCACATGGCAGCCATCTTGAAAAATGGCGGCCTTTACTCGTTATTTTACGATTTTTGCTGTAACGCAAGAAGTAGTGGAGCGATTTTGTTCATATTTGGTGTGTGAATACTATAAGCATGGCTCACTGTCTAATGAAACTTTTGGTAGGAGGCGGCCATTTTGAAAAATGGCCACCATTTTGAAAAATGGCTGCCATTTTAACATATTTTACTATAACTCAAAAAGTAGTGGAGCGATTTTGTTCATATTTGGTTTGTGAATACTATAAGCATGGCACACTGTCTAATAACACTTTTGGTAGAAGGCGGCCATTTTGAAAAATGGCTGCCATTTTAACGTATTTTACTATAACTTGAAAAGTGGTGGAGCGATTTTGTTCATATTTGGTATGTGAATATTATAAGCATGGTACACTGTCTAATGACACTTTTGGTAGAAGGTGACCATTTTGAAAAATGGCCGCCATTTAAACGTATTTTACTCGGCCTTTACTTGTTATTTTACAATTTTTGCTGTAACTTGAAAAGTAGTGGAGCGATTTTGTTCATATTTGGTATGTGAATACTATAAGCATGGCACACTGTCTAATGACACTTTTGGTAGAAGGCGGCCATTTTGAAAAATGGCCACCATTTTAAAGTATTTTACTATAACTCGAAAAGTAGTGAAGCGATTTTGTTCATATTTGGTTGTGAATGCTAGAAAAAAAGCATATTACTTCTGATGACAACTTGGCTAGTGAGCAACCATTTTGAAAATGGTGGCCTTTCTTATGTGTGCTATTTTATGATATTTGCTATATTTCGTTTGTAAAAATGCCAGCCATTTCTGTTTGATGGGATTCGCTACGCTTTGGCGTTGCCGTTGTTCTGGTTTATACAGATTCATGAGTATACTGTAGTGTTCGTTGGGAATTGCTATTTTTATGGAGTTGCTTACTTCTAGTTTCAAATATTTGAATACTGTGCCAATTCTAACAAAATATGGATTTCATATATTTCAATTAATTGTATCATAATTTCAGTAGAGTTTATCTTGCCAGACATAAAATCAGTCATATATGCAATTGTTTTAAAGAATATCCAGTAAGCATCCATGTACTCAAAAACTAATCTCTGACAAATTAGAATTTCGAAATTAATTCAAAATACAAAAAAACATACTGCACCAAAAATTAATAAATAGTTGATACTTCCCTTCTGTGATAGGGCCAATATCCAGAATAACACCAATAGCAGCGCCAGATGTAACGACTTTGTGCACTAACTGAGCCTGAAGTATTTTATGTGCACATAAGTTGTAAGTCTGGAGATGATAACATTTTAGAAGTAAAAACAGCACTATATAAGTAAGCAATGTAACTTCAAATCAAGGACATCTATCTATATATGATAGACATCCTTGTTCAAATACTGAATTTTTTTAAATGAGATGTTACTTATTCAAATCTCTTAATCTTACTTGCTGTTCTTTCAACTGCGGATGCAGATGATGATGCCTTTACCCTTGCCTCAGACATTTTTTTGGGATTATCATCAGGAGGACATTGACAACATGGTTTGCCCCTTATCTCTCTGTCAATTTCTACTTCTTTAGCAGGCTCAGCTTTCAACAGTCCTTGCTGTGTTATCACACAAAGAACGAGAAGACCTGAAACATAATGACATAGTGCACTGCATTACTTCTGGCACATCCCTTGTATCTCAGTCAAACTAAAAGTACAACTCATACTAAAAATCCAACTAGATATAAGGAAAGAAATGCCAAGTATCCCAAATACCAGTTGTTTGAAGTGTCAAACGTGAGAGTTTAGTTGCCAGAATACAGTGAAAAGACTTCAAGAAAACATTAAATTGTCATTGATGTTGAGAAGTAGTACTGTGTGTTTCAACTTCCCAGGTTTTGCAGTTTTACCAAGCAGTTCTATTTTTGCAATGTAATATGAAGATTACATAGTGAACGTTTTCTAATTATCATACTGAACTATCTTATTGTTATGTAATGTACATTTTTATAAGATTTAACATTTCACCTTGGAAATCCTCAAACCACCAGTTTCTGATTTCAAATGACCGTCTTAAGGTGAGTGACAAATATGAGATGAGATAGTTGACTGAAAAAATCAAGTTCCACAAAATTCCATGCAAAAAATCAAATTCTGCAAAAATTTGGAAATTCCAAATTCTGTGGTTTTTCTGCGGCAAAGCCAAATCACAATTTGTTTGTAAGTGCAAGATAATATACATTTAAATTGATGTTAAGAAAGAAAGGTGAGTGATGGAGCTCTTGATTTTTACGAATAACATTTTTGCAATAAAGTACAAACATATTTTCGTTTCATTTCAGTGTCATACTTATTATCATAATTTATTCATTTATTACCAATGTTTCCATAAAATTAATTAACAGGTACTAAGTTCTATAATTTACACACTACAAAGCATATTTGTCTGTTCCCCTTATAAATGGCTAAAAGTCAATAAGTTCGACACCATGAAACATTCAAAATAGAGGCATCCCAACTCTTTAACTTGAATTGACCTTTTGCGATCAGAATTCAGGAATTTTGTTTATGGATACTGTTGTCACGTATTTCGTCTTATTGGTGTGACGTCATATAGAAATGATATTAGGCATGATGGAATCACGAAATGGCGGACACGTGGCAGTTTTGAGCTAAAAATATTGTAGTTTCTTTTATGAAAACCATGGGTCGGATATTAACCAGGTATGCCGATTTGACTAGATCATGAGTATATCTATATATGTGCGAAGTTTGGGTGAAATTCATACTAAACATCGATGTCTATAAGCGAATCGATTTTGATAGCGGTTTACTGGCAGTTCCTATTAACAATGCTCAGAAGCAAATCCTTGCTCATAAGTGTGTGTTTCAACTTCCTAGATTTTCTGTTTTCTCAAATATCTAAGCATAAATTTATTTATTTACTGGCAGTTCCTATTAACAATGCTCAGAAGCAAATCCTTGCTCATAAGTGTGTGTTTCAACTTCCTAGATTTTCAGTTTTCTCAAATATCTAAGCATAAATGCCAATGGGAAAGGACCAAAAACTGTAAAGAAACCTAGCAAGAAAAGCAAACTGTAAGTATAAACCTATCATAAGAAAAATAAACAATGTCTAACACCACCCTTCCACTCTCCAATCAAAAACCAATATCACAATCCAGGACCAGGGCCATGAATTTTGAATTGTAACTCACACAATGATTTCATGATTTCTGTTGATCATTTTGAAAATATTTTGAAATAAACTAATTACATTTACACTCTATGAAAACGAATCACTATACTATATTGATCACTATACCTACAGTACTTTTCAAACCTCACAGAAAAAAATATAAATTATTTCATAATTTTTACAAAATTGCACTAGGCATAGCAGAGTTTACCTGTATTACATCACAAACTCATATTAACAACTGCTTAAACTTTAGAGCAATGGAACAATGGTTTTAGAATTGGTGATTTACTTTTTTAATGAGCGCATTATATACCTACGTGTAATAGAATTATTTTTCTTTCCTATGTTTTATGAAACCAATTAATGTACAATACGAACTGTAGACTTACCTAAAAGAATCCTTAGTGTCATCATTGTGAATAGCTAAAGTACCCACAGCTTGTATGTTGTAACACTCAAAAGCTCAGAGGCAAATCGAGTGCTGGTAGAACACATCATGTTGGCCATTTTATACTCCACAGAACAAAGAAATTTTACTTCCTCATTTCTGTTGAGGATGACAGTAATTTTGAACATCCAATCAAAATTGATGAAAATGAGGATTATCAAATTGTGTATGTGTCATCTGTCACATCAGGCTTTGCAGCAACAGCTCATATTGAAAACAAGTGAAAGAGCCTTGAACTAGGAGTTTTATGTTAAGGAAGAGCATTACTTTAATGCAATTATATTTTATCAATGAGGTATTACCTGTAAATAAATTAGTTTCTGTCTCAAGTAGAGTCCAACAGGGTGATCTATCAAGGAACAATATCATCTGGCATGAACAACACTTCATTATGGAGTAATTCAAGAGGCAGATATTACTCTTGATACATTTTGCTGAGAAATAACCATTACAAAATAACAGCATTATCTGTGAGGGACACTTTGGCATGAATGGAATAAAACAATTTAAACCTTTCATGAAGCGTATGCAGTTGTCATTGCTAAGTCCAATGTTTTTGACCATATTGAATGAATTGATCATGAGGTCATTTCAGAATCTGATCAATCTGCTTTGCATATTTATTCTTGTGAAATTTGACTTTATATATGAAGATTTTTGCAGATTTATGATTTTGATTTATTTTAAGGGTCACAGCAATAACTAAGATTAAAAAAGTAATTTACATCATACCATTGTAAAATGTGAAAAGGTCCTACATGTACATGTATATCGATACCAGTTTTGCAAATGATAACTTTCTTTTTGAATTTGATCTCACGCAATAATCCACCATTTGTTTTAAAATGAGTTTCACATTCAGTTTTAACTCTGAAAATGTTTTAAACTTTTGAATTTGTTTGATGAGAATCTTTGGGTTGGACAATTTTGAAATTATGGGATACATCATTTGGTGTTACCCTGTATTTTGTATGGTGGAATTTGCTATTTTCTAATTTTCAAAGTGTTTCTAGGGTTTTTCTAATTTGATATATTCATATGTGTTTTCCCACTATCAAAAATGTTATATTGGAGGAATGAAAGAAAACCAGCGTGTTGATTCCAAAAAGCTCGATCATTGACACGACGTGTGACCTTGATGGCGGCTTCGAACGTTGGGAAATCTCCTCCTCTGAGTGTACCATTTAAGAAGTTGAAAAATCAAATGAGTTTTCGGATTGCACATTTGCACATCAAGTTTTAGGGGGAGAATTATCATTCACTTAACATATAACTTGGCAATAGATAATGACAACTTTCTTAGGGGAATTGTCACTTTGAATAAATTTGTATTTTCTCTTAAGTTTGTCTCTTGCACAAGCAGTATAATAAACCATTCAGAATAAATATAAATCTCAAATATCAGTATAAGTCAAACAATTTGATTCTTGAAGTTTTAAATTTATTTGAATTTAGCAGTAATTATTTCATTACATTCAATATTTCAATCTGTTTCAATTTACTTTAAATGTAATGACATGAATGATGTTTTCTTGAAATCATGGTCTTCGTCCATTTGTTGTCGTCATTACTCATAATCTGTAGAAGGGGTGCATCTTATTTGCCGATTGACCACCAACAACCAAAACAGTGATAAAATGGCCAGCTTGTACCAAAGCTACCATAAAAGCACCAATGGTTGCATCTCCAAGGCAGCCATGAAACAGTTGTTCTCCAGCAGCCCCAGCATCTTAATAAGACAGTGAGACAGATTAACATAAAAGCTGACCATAATTCCCTCCAAACTTCATTTGATGGAATGAAAAGTTTATATTTATTAGTTCCATCATTTCAAAATGTAATTTTGTTGAAATTTTATATGTGACTACTAATAAATAGAATACACTTTTGTATAACAATTTGGCTACTAAATTACCATTTTGAAGTAGTGATAGACTAAAATGTCAGTTGTAAAAAAACTAGACCTTATATTAGCTCAGAACTTATAAGTATTTTTAAAGAAATTTAGCATTATAAATATTTGGTTACCTCTTGTGATTTGGCCACCATCCACCCCAGCAGGCCCAACAGCGCCAGTGCCAGAAGGTAACAAATGCAGAGACAGCTGAAATGATTTGATGTACAGGATAGACATTGTGTACATTCAGTGAAACAGCCTTGGATCTGCTAAAAGCATTCTATTTCTGAGATGTTCCATTTACAGAGATTTTGGGCTCATATCAGAGGTATTTACATAATCAAGAAAATACATAGACTGATATATATTTTAAAGTGATCCCTTGACAGCAACATGTGAGTAATGAATGAATCTTTGTAATATCACTTAGAAATGTCACTAGTTGATTTCATAAATATACACAATGATATTGAAATATTATTTTTCAGAGTAAAACACTTAGAATGTTAATAAACATCACTAAAGTAATCAAGTTACTAATACATGTAACTTCAAAAAAGGGATATTATTACTTATAGACTATTACTATTGAATATTGAACAAATATTTCACTCTATTGAGGTGAATACCTGTACATCTTTCACAAGTGATATTCCACGAAGCCCGAAGGGCAAGTGGAATATCACCTTGTGAAAGTGCTTGTGAAATATCACCGAAAATAGAGTGAAATATTTGTTTTATTATCCCATGTTTGAGGTCAATATCAATATCTGCACTCATTCGCTACACTCACTCGTCCAGATATTGAAATCAACTCGTGGATAAAAATGATATCCCTCAAAATCATAAGATATCCTATACTAATACATACCTGTACATCATTTATTCGAATAAGATTGAAATCTTACATTTTGCTTTCAAATCAGGTTGGACACGAGCTGCATCTGCTTTTAGTTTTGCTTCAGAAGGAATTCCTCCTACAGGACCTACAGGGCTAAGTCTACCTCTACGTATCTCTCGATTAATTTCTACATCATCTGACTCAGCCTTAAGTAAATCCGCCTGAATTACAAATAGGACAAGAATACCTGAAAAAGCAAAACATTTTGATATTAGACCACACAGAATTTGGTTTTGTCAAATGGTTCAAGATGGTTGCTCTTTTAGAAAAGAGGGTTAGCATGTTTTGGGCATAACTCGGACCATATAGAATGGAAATAGACACATATTCAACAAATCATTTTAGAAAACTAGAAGTTTCAACAACACACGGGCATTTTTTGTTTCATAAGTCAGCTTTGATCAAACAACAGTACACATACTTCCTTATTTATCAAATTCTTGGACTACTTTTTTAGATGTGGTCAACTAGGTCATTTAATAGTTCAGCCTTAATTTTTAAAAGCCGGTTACTTTTAGAAGTAGCTGGGCACCTATTTCTTACTTTAATTGATAATGACATTCATCTTCTAAGTTCTTCTAAACAATTTAACAATCTCAAATTGCAGAGTTATTCACTTTGCTTTTTGAATCAGTGAATCTCACAAGTAAATGCATTTCAATATGTTTAAACTTCAGTCACATTTGCTCCACTTTGAGAACTAGCACCTGACCATTTTTGGCATAACTGGGTAGGCAAGCCTAGAAACTTTTCTGTCACTGGAAGATTATTTGCCACTATTGGTTGATTTTGATTGATTTGATTTGAAAACTACATATATTCTGGGTAGCTCTATCAGTACAAAAACTTGTATTCTGAGAGGCCTAGTGATAATGTACAATTACTATCAATATGTTCAATTAATATTAACACATGGAGATAGATATGTAGGACAATTAATGAATGCCTTTGGGCTATCATAGGACAGCCCAGTCATCATCAGATAGCCTTGTGATAGTCTTATGGTCTTCCTACAGTCATCTTCAAATGAATGTTGGATTTAAACCAACAAATTATTTGCTGGCACCATACAGTGCCTGTATCTAATTTGATTATACTCGCTTCAAATCCTAGACATTGAAAAAAGTCTCCAGAACATGGCTGGTCAGAAAGCTATCAGATTACATGAACTTATCAGATGGTGCAAATGTGACTGATCTGTTAGACTTTCTTAATTGTCAGTATGGGCAATCTGAATCAGGTTTGCTTTTTCTGATGTCAGGTTTACCTTTTATTTCTCCCCCTCCCCTGATTTGAGAGGTTGATAGAAAAAACTGAAGATTAGAAAAAGCTTTCAGTAAATATCTCACTTGAATATGGATCTGGATCCTGCAATCATTGTATAAGGCTGCATGAGACAACAATACGGAAACCATTGTTGGGTGAAGTTACATAATGGGAAGAATGTTCAAAAGAATTGAATAATCTTTCCTAAACTTTGTAAAAAAAAACTTACTAAATGCAAATGAACATGTCTGTAGACTTACCTAAAAGAATCCTTAGTGTCACCATTATGGATAGCTAAAGTACCCACAGCTTGTATGTTGTAACACTCAAAAGCTCAGAGGAAATTGAGTGCTGGAGGAACACATCATGTTGGCCATTTTATACTCCACAGAACAAAGAAATTTTACTTCCTCATTGCTGGTGAAGATGACATTAATTTTGAACATCCAATCAAAATTGATGAAGATGAGGATTATCAAATTAAGTAGGTGTCATCTGTCACATCAAGCTTTCCTGCTACGTGTACTATAGCTCATATTGAAACAAGTGAAAGAGCCTTGAACTAGTAGCTCAATGTGATGGATGGGGCATTATTTTTATCCCAAGGAATGAAGTTTGGAGGGATATAAAGAACGTCTCTGTCCGTACATCTGTCTGTCTGTATGTCCGTCCGTCCGCTATAACAAGAAATAATGGATATTTATTAAATACAATATGCAGGAAAGTATCATCATGAAGCACTGGAAAATTAGTGAGGGAAGACAACATCAACAAATGAATATGAAACAGTATATTCTCCGCAATACAAAGAGGGTAAACTATGAGAAGTTAGAAGACCGATCACAAGTAAGAGGAAGGAAGTGACAGAAGACAACGTAAGAACATCAGAAAGGGGAAGGGGAGAGTTTTCCGGCCGGATCAAAACGTTTAACCCACCTACGTGCAGTCTCAAGCCTGTGGACCCTGAAGAATCAAATCAAGACAACAATCAAATCAAGACAAAAGAAGAAGAAAACGAACGAAGACACTGATGCAGCACCGACAAATGACGTCCGTCCGGGCAATAACTCAAATACCATTGGCTGATTTTTTCATATTTTGTACACATATACCCCATCGGGGTAGAATTTCTGCTCGAAAGCCGATTTTCAAAATGGCCACTCATTTGAAAATGACGGTAATTTTAGTGCTGATTTTAAGTAGTTAAGGTGCAATATGTAAAACTGTAATAGCAATATGTTTTAAATGTGAAAAGATTATATAGGACATTAATAAAGCTAGAAATGTAGATATTAAAGAAGCACATGGCAGCCAGTTTGAAAAATAGCGGCCTACTCATTATTTTATGATTTTTGCTGTTATTAGAAAAGTAGTGGAGCGATTTTGTTCCTATTTGGTATGTGAATACTGCAAGCATGGCACACTATCCAATGACACTTTTGGTAGAAGGTGGCCATTTTGAAAAATGACTGCCATTTTTGCTATACTTTGTTTGTAAAAATGCAAACCATAGTTGTTCGATGGGATTTGCTATGCTTTGGCATTGCTGTTGTCTAGTTGCAATTATGATATTCTATCAATAAGGCATTCATCCCCTGTAAATAAAGCATTAGTTTAAATGTAAACTAGAATGAAAAAGGTTGATCTATCAAGGAATAATATCATCTGGCAACATTTCATTGTACAGTTCAAGAAACAAAGAACTATATATGTTTACTTTGCTAGAAATATCTGAGCAAAATAATAGCATTATGTGAGCGTGATACTAAATTAAACCTTTCATGAATGTTTTTGACCATATTGAATGAATTGATCACCAACCATTTTCAGAATCTGAGCAATTTGCTTTGCTTACATGTTTTTATTCTTTTGAAATTTTACTTGATGTCACACATTTTTGACAATTTTTGTAGATTTATGATTTAGATGTTATAGTTATTTTTAGGGTCACAGCAATAACTAAGATTAATAAAATTAAAAAAGTTATTTACCTATATCTTAACCAGCATTCAAATGATATACACAGGCAACTTATATCGGCCCCCCTACAAGTTTGAACGAGGCATGAAAATTACGAGTCAGCGGGGCAAAAAAGAGTAACTTGTAAGTTTTGTATCCACTTATTCCACTAGTTGACAAATCTGATGTCTGTCATTGCTTACCCTGATAACGACCTATTGCATGCTTGTCATGAGCCTCATTTGGCCAAGTACATAGGTCGAAAATGATGGGTTCTTTTGGGCATCCTAATGACAGGCCATTACAGAGCTTGAAAATAACAAGCTATTACGGGCCTCAATATGATCCCCCTATGGTCAAGTAAATGGGTAGAAAATTACCGGTTCTAACAGTCTTTGTAATCACAAGCTATTATGAGGCTCAGAAACTACCAGCAATTATAGGCCTTGTTACGGGCCCTATACGGGCAAGTACATGTGTCGGGAAACACTTGTTCTAACTGGCCTTGTAAGATTTGTAATCAGAAGCCAGTATGAGGCTCGTAAATTACAAGCAACTACATAACAGGAATCATTACAAGGCCATACAAAGTTGTATAGAGCCTATTGAGGGAACTTGCACAGCCCCGATGTAATTTGCCTCTTTTGGAATTTGATCGCATGCAATAATCCAACATTTTTTTTTAAATGAGTTACTCATTTAATTTTACCTCTGAAAAAAATGTTTTGAACATTCCTAAACTGTTTTGATGAATCTTCGGGTAGGACAATTTCAAAATGTTATTTTTTATCAAACTGCCAGTGAAATAATTGTCGAAATGATGGTGGTGTGGTCTTGATTGTTATTGTGAGTATTGTGGCATTCCACTTTTTTCATCAACATTTAAAGGGAATCGCTTGTCTGATTTACCAGGTCTGATTTGTTTATATTTACTTGTAATCTACCTGCTCAAGTGGGTCACTAAGGGCCACGGCAGCCCCCATATTGTAGCAGACCCTATAAATTCCAAAATACCTGTATATTGATTGTTTGACCTTGACTGATTCTTGAATCGAGGTAAACTTTTCCAAGGGCCTTGAAAAGCCAAATACCTAGATATTCACATTAAACCTTGGCCCATAAACATTGAGTTTGACCTCAGGTCACCTAATCATAAGTCGCCAAGAGTCACAGTATCTGTCAAGTGTCTCAAAATGCCAAATACTTATATATTGACATTTAACCTTGAGATGATCTTGACCCATAAACATTGACCTTGACCTCAGGCCACCTAATCATGGGTCGCCAAGGGTCACAGTAGCCCCAAGGGTCTTAAAACGCCAAATACCTAGATATTGACCTTTGACCTTGGAATGACCTTTGACCTTGGAATGACCTTGACCTCGGGTCACAATCATGGGTCGCAAAGGGTCACAACAGCCCTCAGTAAGGGAGATTTCCTAAAGATGACCTATCATATTATTTGATGAATCTTAGGGTAGGACAATTTCAAAATGTTATTTTTTATCAAACTGCCAGTGAAATAATTGTCGAAATGATGGTGGTGTGGTCTTGATTGTTATTGTGAGTATTGTGGCATTCCACTTTTTTCATCAACATTTAAAGGGAATCGCTTGTCTGATTTACCAGGTCTGATTTGTTTATATTTACTTGTAATCTACCTGCTCAAGTGGGCCACTAAGGGCCACGGCAGCCCCCATATTGTAGCAGACCCCATAAATTCCAAAATACCTGTATATTGATTGTTTGACTTTGACTGATTCTTGAATTGAGGTAAACTTTTCCAAGGGCCTTGAAAAGCCAAATACCTAGATATTCACCTTAAACCTTGGCCCATAAACATTGAGTTTGGCCTCAGGTCACCTAATCATAAGTCGCCAAGAGTCACAGTATCTGTCAAGTGTCTCAAAATGCCAAATACTTATATATTGACATTTAACCTTGAGATGATCTTGACCCATAAACATTGACCTTGACCTCAGGCCACCTAATCATGGGTCGCCAAGGGTCACAGTAGCCCCAAGGGTCTTAAAACGCCAAATACCTAGATATTGACCTTTGACCTTGGAATGACCTTGACCTCGGGTCACAATCATGGTTCGCAAAGGGTCACAACAGCCCTCAGTAAGGGAGATTTCCTAAAGATGACCTATCATATTAGCACGTTCGAAAACAAATTTTATAAACACAGGCCTCAATATGCCGTTGAAATGGATCTCCAAATGTTCACTGTAGTTTTATGAGTATTCTCTACAAGTATGGATCAAATTTAACTTTGCGCATGCGCAGCACTGAGAGAGCACGTGCTCATGATTGTTCACGTGATCGAATCCTGCAATTTGATTGGAGATCAGATGCAAGAGTTGATGTAATGGGGAATCCCCGAATACGATAGAATATGAAAGAATTATGGGAGCTACTCACTCCTTCTGAACAGACCTCAAGGTCCTGAAAATGCCTGAAGATATTGACCTTTGACCTTGGAATTACTTTGACCCATAAATTTGACCTCAATCACCTTATCACCTAATCATGGGCCATTAAGGGTCACAGTAAAGACCAAGGGTCTTAAAAAGCCAAATACCAAATTGACATTTTACCTTAGAATGACCTTGACCTCTGTTTAACAGGTATTGTTTAACATGTATCATATGATATTCATCTCATAGGAGTGGTCATTGACCATAAAATGACAATGATAAGACACTTAGAAAATTGAATTGAATCTGAGGCATGGACATTTTTTACTGATTGGATGCATTATTTGGTGTTACCCTGTATTTTGTTTGGTGGGATTTGCTATTTTATAGTTTTTAAAGTGTTTGTAGGGTTCTTCTAATTTGATGTATAAAATGTATTTCCCATTTAAAACTATGCAATAAATTGAACATCCTTTGATTTTTTTTATTTATGATACCATTTTCATTGACTTCTGAATATTGATATCTGCACTCACACACTATGCTCACATATGCGGATATTAATATTCATTTGTGTATAATGAAATAGATATTGGGTGTGACAGATGAAAACCCACACTTCATATCCCTCTGTGGGAGCTGAATTGCTGAATGTTACATCTGACAGCCATTTTAAAGGTTTTACATGTATTTGTAAACATCAATAGCTTGAAGGCCAAATCAATTCAATTCAAAATTATGCTACAGAGGATAAGTTTCATATTATTGTTTGTGTGAAGTATGTTTTGTTCATGGTCCAGTTAAGAACATTCATATTTTGGATATCACCAGTCTCTGTGCAGTTTGTATCAATGATGGCTCAAAGCCTTATATAACCTTATTTGGCAATAATATAAATAAATCATCTGTAGCAATTGTTCATGAATCCCAAATCAACAAAGCAGTTGAGCTGTAGCACTCTTGCTACATTCAGTTTTTGAATTTATCTAAATGTAACAATCATTTTGATTTGCACACCAGAATAGCCTAACAATGGTAAAGTCAGAAACAGTTGTCACAAATGGCGGAAATAACCGTCGCTTCAACTCTTTAATCACTTGGTCCTCATTTCATGGGATTTTATCGTCGCTAATTCTGTGCATGTATTAAGCTCTTGCGATGATGTATCATATGAAATCCCAATTTCGATCAAATTGGGTAGCGAATCACTATAATATAACATCTTTGATATCGTCAATGACAACGGAATATGAATGTGAAATGATTTACAAAGACAACGGCATGTGGTAATACAGTGTCCGTTGTCCCGTATCTCATTTTGATCGGTTAAATTAAAGACACTTTATTTCAATGGTAGAACATTATTAACTGTACAATGAGAATAAAGACACTTTGATTGATTGTTGTTCCACAGGAGTTTATTCTAGGTACTCTATTAAACATACAGTTCATGAAAATCTATTTCAGTTTGCTTTAAATGTAATGAGGTTTTCTTAAAATCATGGTCTTTTTCCATTTTATCTATGGTTGTTGGCATCATCGCTGTTCATTGTTTTGATCTTATTAACGGGCATCTCCAACAATGCCAGAATAACCAGTTAGGATGGGCATTCCACCAATATTACTTGCAAGCTACTCAGAGGTCATTTTTTACATTTGATTTTCTAATTGATTATCAAAATATCAAAATATATTTTGGGTCCGTTTCAATCTTAAAGTGTGCGCCAAAGTTTAAAACTGCGCAGGCGCACCGCTCTCGCTAAACTATATAAAGAGATTACCGGGTACACGATTCAGAGGTAAGCCAGGAAGGCGAACGATCTTCATCTCGTGATGATTTCCCATATAATCGTAACCAGGGAAGTTTCACCATTGAAATTGAAAATTACTATTAGATATACTTTATAGATGTTATTTATGAAGCTATTTAGTGTTTGCATCAATCAAATGGCTCATTTTGAACATATAAAAAGTATTTGTGTTTTGTTTCCCAGGGAATTGTATTGTATGTAGTACACACATAAATAGTGTACATTATACAGTACTTGAATAGCCTGGTTTACATAATATTGAAGGGCATGCTGATTACATGCACACGAGTACATGAATGAAGGCCTAATATTGATATACGTAGCTTGCATACCTAAATAAAAAATAAACTCTTCTAATCCCCTAATGTAAACACGGCGGTATACGTAGCCCGATTTATGGGGGACTTTAATGTTTTGTTTTTGCTTTTGAAAATGAGGCAACTGTAAATGACTTTTGTTTCTTAACATTCAAAGATGAGATCACCAGTGCTCAGATTAATGCAAATGATGGTTTGAAATGCTGCATCATGAAAGCTACGTGTAGCAAATGCCTTTCTTAGGAGTGATATTGTTGTTAAATCATTTGAAACATATATGAATCCAAAATAACAGTACAAGTCATATGATTTGCTACATTTAAGTTTTGAATTTATTTAACTATTATCAGTTTGATTCAATTTAATGTTCCACTATATTTCAGTTTACTTCAATGTAATAAGGTTTCCCTAAAATCATGGTCTTTGTCCATTTGCTGTCATCAGTACTTGTAATCTGTAGAAGGGGTGCATCTTATTTGCCAACTGGTGACCACCAACAGTTCCAGCAGTGCCAATATGGCCATGGTGTACCAAAGCTACCATAGAAGCACCACCAGCTGCATCTCCAAGGTAGCAGTGGATTGGGAAATGTTAACCAGCAAAGATAGCATCTTGACAAGTAAATGAATAGAAATATTGTCATGAATACTGAAACTATAGCATTTTGAGATAAGAGTTCAATATTAAAATCTCAGTGCAATTTTCACAGGCTCTTTCAATAGGTCAAATACTGTTGGTCTTATTCTATAGATACTTGCTTTATGTGTATAGAAATTCTACTTGAAAGATGGTTTACAAAATGTAGCCTCTCATTTCAAAATGGCAACCATATTAACCTCTTGAATCCCAGGCTCTAAAATCGGTTCAAACCAGATAATTTATCATTTTTGCCATCTTTTGACATTTCACTACATACATGTACCTATACAACTTTAGATGCTCAATTTAGTAAAGTTAGACAACAGAGATCATTTCTACATATTTTAAAACAATTTTTGTGTAAAGATGAAATTTATTCAAATAAGAATAATTTTAGTGAACATTTTTGTGATAGATTTTCTCGTCACTCGGGGTTTCAAGGTCATTTCTGAGGTAGAGAAATCTCATCACTCCAGGTAGTCAAGAGGTTAAAACACCTATTAGCCAACAGTGGCATCTGACAACATGCTAAGCAGCTGTTAAAACAGGAAATTGAATTTCTAAATATTTCCTTACCTCCTGTGATATGGCCACCATCCACTCCAGCAGCCCCAACATCGCCAGTCCAAAGACCAAGGACGGGTGGAAAAAGTAGCTACAATTGAAATGGTTTATATACAGATAACATAATTATCTTGAAATTACAATCTACTGTTAAACACTTAGGTGTTATAAGAAAAGCACTAAAGTAATCAAGGTACATAATTTCAAAATAGTGATATTACACTGTACAATTGAATATTGAGAATTACATACCTGTACATCATTTATAATAATTATTTATAAGATTAAATCTTACCTTTTGCTTTCTGTTCAGGTTTATCACGAGCCGCATCTGCTTCTAGTATTTTTTTAGGAGGAATTCCTGAAGGTGGATCTGTGGGTGGAGGCTTAGTTCCACGTGTAGGTAGAGGTGGTCGGGGAGGCTTAGCTCCACGTATAGGTAGAGGTGGTCGGGGAGGCTTAGCTCCACGTATAGGGGGAGGCTTAGTTTCACCAGTAGGTGGAGGTGGTGGAGGTTTAGATGTGGGAGGTGGAGGCCTTATTCTGTGTCCCTTCCTACCAGGTCTACCACGTATCTCTCGATCAATTTCTACATCATCAGCCTTAAGCAGTTCTGCCTGAATGATCACAAATATGACAAGAATACCTGAAAAACATGAAATTTGGGTTGACCAAGATGAGGTTTCTCTTTTAGAGAACATCGTTGAGAATATGGCGGCTTAATTAATAATGGCCGCCATTTTTCGGAAAAAATATTATCTTTGATCACTCAAAATTTGGCAAGATGTAATAAAATTTAAACCAAGGTGTTCAAAATTTGGATCAAGGTGTTCAGATTTGGACCAAGGTGTCCACATTTTGAGGGGAGGTGTTCAACATTTCCAAGTCACTCATGTTAGGTGTTCCCAAGTTGACAGGCCTGATACCAGTACTGTCAACCCCCAAAGATTTTCTTGCGGGACAGAATTTTTAGACCCAGTGCCAAAAATTCGTGGGACATTTAAGGGATTTGCGTGATTGCGCTAATAGGTCAAATTTTGATCAAATTCGCGGGATTTCGCGGGACCATTCGAGGGACAAACACGCTAATTACGGGACAGTTAACAGGGTTACCACCAAAGACTTTTTTAGACAAAGTGCCCGAAATTCGCGGGATTTGCGGGACATGTACCTAAATTTGCGGGATGTCGCAAGACATTCTTGAAAGGGATTTACGTGATAGGGGCTTAATGTAAAAGTTCTCAAACCAAACTTTCAGATACTGATTTATCAAATATAATGCACTTGGCTTAAGTAAACGTCAACACAATTCCACACAATACGCAAAGAAATATAATTAAACTACAGGGTGGTCAAAAATATGGAAACCCTAATACCATTTTCCTCATATCTTTGTCATTTTAAAAAATAACTCCCTGATATTTTACACTTTTGTACATCATTCAATTTGCTTCTAGCCTATTTTATTTCACGACCATCAGATTGATAGTCACAATGTTACAGTACTCTAAAGAACATGCCCAGTGGCCACTATTGGGTTGTGAGGAAACTTGACTCATCGTCTAAAATGTCCCTACCTGTGGGGATATGGCAGAGATAGAGTATATGAGAATGACCTCAGGACAATTGCAAACCTCAAAAGTGAGATTATTTGTGTCATTCAGGCCATACCTGCTGAGGAATGCATTCGGCTCATTGACAACTGTGCTGTTTTGCCCTCAGCGCGATAATGGCCAAATCAGAAGCATGTTGTTCTTAGTGCTGTAAAATTGTGTCTATTAGTCCGATGGTCATGAAATATGATAGGGTCGTAGAAAAATAATGATGTACAAATGTGTGAAATATTAGGGAGTAATCTCTTAAAGTGACAAAGATATAAGGAAAATGCAGGGTTTCCATTTTTTGACCACCCTGTATCAAAAAACCACGCTTTAGTTGTGAGTACTGTAATCCAACACGAAATTCAAAAATTCTGAACAATATTTTGCACTTATGGTGTTCATGACCAACTATGAAACATTTACTCCCCCATAGTGTTACATATTAAAATGTACCTATTCATATCGGGGTTTGATAAATCTACATCAAATTATAGGGAGTCAGGTTTCTTTTCGAGATATCAGTGTTCATTTATTGGAACTCGCATTTGCTAACATTTGCTCAGTTCTTAGATGAAGGCCGTGACACGCGTAGTAAAAAGGCCAACGTTGGAACTATACGTGACATACATCCCTATTTTCGTAATTAAAATGAAAATTGCACTCTTCCTCTTTATTTTGATACCAAATATCGGCATAATAGGTACTTGAGAAGCCGACTATATGGTGTTATTTGGATCAAAATCACAGTTTTATAAATGGACTATATGCTCTTTTCAAAAGCAGTCTTCGATGATCTGATGCACTGGGAGTTTGGCAGCACTTTTCAAATTAGGTAAACTTTACTCCTCAAAAGCGCAAAAACTTAGCTTCTTATATCACAAGATAATCACAATTATTTAACCTCGGGGATTGTTACAATTTTGAAAATTCGCGGAGGTCAAAGCCGACATTTGCGGGACTTCGCGGGACATTGCGGGACACGCGAATTAGCCAAATTTTGATCAAATTCGCGGGATAATCCCGCCATTCGCGGGACACTTGACAGCTCTGTTGATACTGTAATTGACATGTTCCCAAATGCAAAAAACAGAAAGATAGAATTTATTCTATAGAATCACGTACAGATTGTTAAGATCCGAAATGGAGTTGAGACGGTCATGTAACTGTTCTTTTATTGTTAATCATCTTGTGAGCTAGATAAAAACAAACACAGAAAAAATAATAATAGTTCATGGAGAATGACCACAAAAGCTTAAAACAATGAGCCTCATACATACAGTTTTAGGTAGCCTAAAAAATAAAATCGCCTTGATAGACGGCTTCGATCGCCGATGGCATGATTATATAGAATCTGTCTATTTTGTTTCCCGAATATTATCTGTTAATACAGTTAATTCAATCCCTTTAAAAGCTATGTCAAAATGATCAAACAATACATATTTCCTTCATTGAATTAAGAGTGTTTAGTGTGTCCCCTATCTTCTGAACACCCGGGATCTTCCTATTCTATGGAACCATCGTTTTGTTAATTTTGATAAAACCGGGAAATCATACGGGCGTACACTCGCAAAATGGGCTAGCTACGCCTCTGACCTTATTAGGCTAAACTGAGAAAACATTAAGAATGGAAGGAAGCACTTTGAGTTTAATATCTCACTTGAATATGGAATATGAATATGCAATCTTATGACCATCCTCCAATCACAGGGCTTCAAAATCCAGAATATATTCTGTCTTTTTACCCCCTGCGATAAGCAGTTACATTTTCCCGATTAAGAACTCACAATCTGATTGGCTGTCGCAACACTGCCATGACTGGTATACAGAATATGTTTTTTTCTTTTTCTTGCTGTGTTCTGTAACAATTTTTGGTCCTTTCCCTTTGGCACTTGTGCATACATATTTGGATGAAGAAGTATGAGACAGCATAAATGTGTAAACTATGCAATGTATGATATGCAACTACTAAATGTAGACTCACCTAATAGAATCTTTAGTGTCACCATTGTGGATGACTAAAGTACTCACAGCTTGTATGTTTTAAAAGCTCAAAGGCAAATCGAGTGCTGGTAGAACACGTCATGTTTGCCCATTTTATACTACATGAGACAAAGAAATTTTACTTCCCTATTTCTGGTGAGGGTGACCGTAACTTTGAACATCCAATCAGATTTGATGAGGATGAGGAATCCTCACATAATGTACGTGTCATCTGTCACATCGAGCTTTGCTGCTATTACAGCTCAGAATGAAAACAAGTGAAAGAGCCTTGGTCTAGGAAAACGTACGTGAAGGATTGGGCATTATTTTTCCAACAATGACATTTTTATATTAATAAGGCATTACCTGCAAATAAAGTTGAATGATGGTCTTTAGTTTTAAATCTGGTGTAGAGTGCAGTAGAGTGATCAAACATGAAAATAACATCTGGCTGGAACACAACACTATTATACAAAAATATAAAATGAGGATTCTTCATATGTACATTATGCAGAGAAAGATTTTATCAAAATAACAGTATTATCTGAGAGTGATATTTTAGCATTAAACAAATTAAACCTTTCAAGAAGTGTATGAAGTTGTTATTGCTATTAGTCCAATGATTTCAACTTTATTTTAAATTCATTGATCACCAAACATTTCAGAATCTGAGTAGTCTGCTTTGCTTATTTATTCTTGTGAAATTAGACTTCATGTAACACAATTGGTTTTGAAGGTTTTGAAGTTTTGATGTTGATGTTTTTAATTTTAAGGATTGCAGCAGTAACTAAGATGTTTAACAAAGGAATTTTTATTGGAAATATTAAACCATTGTAAAACTTTTAAACAATACCTGAAAAGGTCCTATATCGTAACCAGCTTTGTGGATGATAACTCTCTTTTAATGCAATAATCCACTATTTGTTTTAAAGAATTATATTGTTACAACTTATAAAATTGTTATATTGATAGGTTTTTAATGCAAAAGGTTATTTATCATGTGATTTGGTTTAAAGTCCATGTTTTTAAAGATTTTACGGTAGCCATTTTGAAAAATTTGGTATAGTAGGCATAAATTTTCAAAACCAATGACAAATTATCTTTTGATATTTCATCCATTGTGAATAATGATTTCTTTATGTTCAATGGTATTTGCTCTACCTTGCTGTTGGCATTATCCCATTTTACCAGAACCTGTGTCCCTTGTTTGGCCAGGCTCGACATTCTTAATTTGCTCTTCCTTTCTTAGCCCTACATGTTGTTTGTGCATCATCAGTAGTTTGCCCTCAAGTTTTGGGGTTCTAAGAATGACATGTATACCTGATTTAAATGGAAGGTGTTCCCAGTAAAACTGATCAGTTTCCAATTTTAAATTGAGATGACTACTAGCTTTAACCTTCTTGGTATGATGCCCACTTTGGTTGTCATTCTTTTGTAGCTACATACATCTCGAGCATGATTCATCCATGCATCTAGTATCTCTTCTATTGCCTTCTCTGCCCATAGACCTAGGTCATTGACCCGGGGTCATTGAACATGGTGCGTAGAGAAGAGCCTGGGAATCCTTTCAAGTCTATCTCTACTGGGTCTGTGTCTGTCTGTGTCTGGCCTTACACCATTGGCATCTTGCTTCATCAATGAGGTCTTGATATTTGGAACTCTTCAGTTCTTGTGAAATATCCATTCAGTCTTCCAAAGGAATGGCAAATCTATTGAGACAATGCATCTACACTCCGTGGAAAAGCTGTATTCTTCCCTACATCAACCTGTACATCATCCCATGTCATGTGTCATGTGATGTAGAGGCACTTGAATAATAATACCTAGTCATGGAAAGTAGACATATTATTTTCAACTTAGCACAATTGTTAAAAAGAGAATTTTCCACCCACTCAAGAAAAGATCCTTTGGAACATTCTCTGTAAAGTATATCACTTAAATTGTGATTACTATTTTGTGTACTATATTGTTAACTCTGTGTCTTATAAATACATGCATGAGAAGAGCATTTATTATCTCATTTATGATAGGTTTATGTTCAAAATCTGTTTTGGTCTTGTCAAACATAGAGTGCAAATCATACAAGCATGCATTGGCACGTTTGTGTTATAGTTTATTGGTTTAGTATAAAAGCTCCAAGCAATAAATTGCAGTTAAAAATGTCCTTCCAATAAGTCAGCAGATCGCTGAACATTTGTCACGGTAACAACTTGGGTGATTTAGATAAATTCTTCACTTTATGGACTTTTGTCCTTAATTGAACAAAGTGAAGTTTCAATAATTCTCTTAGGTATATATTTAAGAGGATGCATTTGGTCTCAATTTTGTAACATTATTAGAATGGGGAGAGTGCTGATCGATGAATACAGACATCATTTAATTAACATCCTACACATATTCTACATATTGTTTGAAAGTTTGAAAGTTACATGGCTACAGTCTCTCTGTCTGTCTTGAAATTGACCTTATAAAATGAGAATATAAACTAATGGAAATGTCATTTTGCAGACCTACATGGAGAATATTTATGAGAAGCACGATGCAGGAGATCTGAGTTATTTTGAATTGAACCTGGAAACATGGAGACAACTGTGGCGTGTATTGGAGATGTCTGATGTGATACTCCTCATAACAGATATCAGATTTCCTGTAAGTATGACTTTAGTATTAACCTTGATTGAATTTTGATGGTCAATGGGTGTGATTTTGTGTACACTGTGTACAATGCATCCATTTATGGGACCTTTCATATAGGACAGGGGCAGATGTTGGACTCACTTTTCTTTCAGTAACAAAAAAAAATATCAGACAAAATAAAGTAAAATGTAAAAACATTTGAAAACCAGGATCCATTTCTCAATACATTTATGTAAAATATATTTAAACAGAAAAATGAAATGCATACAGCGTTATAACACAATGTTGTTCATCTTTACAAAAACAACAGTCGTTTCTATACCTATTCAAATAGTATACATGTTATAAAACCTATTATCAATACTTGTTATTGTTAACAGGATGTGATTATTTGACGAAATTCCATAAAACCACCACTTTCAATAGGCAGTAAAAAGTCATATGATTCTATAAAATTTAATGTTTTCGAATAATTTAACATTTTACTTTAATATATGCTCTGAAAATAGTTATAACTGTTGAAATAAGTATCCATTAGTTTTAATAGCAGATATAATATCTATTATTTCTTTTGAGGCTTTAGAAATAAATAAAAACATTTAAAAATAAATTGTTACCAGCTTGATCATTATGGTTTGATTCTCCTGAATCATTTTGCATTCTTGTAAGTTCAGATATAATTTTCAAAACAAAACATTTACAAAACAATCTGTTTCCTGACATCCCACACATAGCATGTAGGATTCTGCTATAATGTCAAAAGAACCAACAATTAGATCTTGTAGGCACTTAACATTTTCATGACAATGATTTGAGCCTATACTGTAAAACATGTAAACTATTGTTTTTATATTTCAGGTATTACATTTTGCACCAACATTATATGACTTTGTAACACAAGAGCTTGGGAAACCAATCATCCTGGTACTTAACAAGATAGACCTGGCGCCCCCTGCCCTAGTAGTTGCATGGAAACACTATTTACAGTCTAAATACCCAAGGCTACATATCGTTTGTTTCTCATCCTTTCCTAAAGATACTCTAGAAGATTCTGGGGATGATCCTGGTCAAGGTAAGGCAATAAAATTTTTGAATTTGAGCTACAAGTAAAAGATTGGTGGAAAAAACACCAGAGAGAAAATACACCAGAGGATTTCTAAAGTCTACAGAACCCAATGAAGTTGGAAAATGTAAACTTCAATAACATTTTACTGCATTACTTACTTTCACTAGAGTTGATCATTGAAGCCATGTGTATTGCATTGATCTTTTTGATATTGTGTAGAAATATACAACTCAAATATCAAAAATTATGTGACAAGACATTCAACCTTCTTTAACCTTTTACTCTATTCTGTGTTCTTAACTAGAGGCTTAATTAAACAAAACTCTCTTTCACTCGGCCTAGGTTCATTTTTATGTAAAATACAATCCTACATCATCAGCTCTAGTATAAAGTACTATAACATAGATTTACATTCATTGTTGATTCAGACTATATGTTGTTAAAATACATGTGATTGTTCTTAATTCAATTACATATATGTTCTAGTCATGCACAAACGCAGAAAGCGAAGGAAATACACTGCAATGGGCCCAACTCAGCTCTTACAAGCATGTGAAACTGTTGTACAAGGCAAAGGTAAGAGATAGCAAAGAGTGTCAAGTTATAAATGTTTGTGTGAGCTGAAGTAATTTCATCATGGTTTGCCTCTCTCCCCCCTCCCCTCATATAACAAAATTTTAAAATGTTGATTTGTCGTTCACTTGAATTCTGTATTCAAGAAATGAAATGAAATAAAATCATTTTCTCCATCAACATTATGGATAGGATATTTCCATAATGGCAGTCAGTATTCATATACTATTGACTGGTTTTCGACCAATTAAAATCAAGCATTAAGATTTAAGTACCAACAATTTTTAGTGTTCTTTGCCATTTGCAGTTGATTTATCTTCCTGGAGAAAGAAAATGTGTGGAGAAGATCCTGAGGGAGCAGAGGAGACAGACACTGTGGTGGAAAATTTAACCAATGATGGCTCATTTAGTGAACACCAAGCATATAAAGATGGAGTCCTAACAATAGGTTGCTGTGGTTACCCAAATGTTGGTAAGAAAATTTATGTTTACATAACAGTAATACTAAAGGTCCTAGTGTATTTTAAATGTCATGAATAACTTAATATGACAAAAGGTACAAATAAGATTAAGCCTGGTTTTTCAATATTTTGTCATCTTACAGGTAAATCATCCTTAATAAATGGTCTAGTTGGGAAGAAGGTTGTGAGTGTGTCTAAGACGGCAGGGCATACTAAACACTTCCAGACCATATTCCTCACCCCCACTGTCAAGCTATGTGACTCCCCAGGCCTTGTCTTCCCATCTCTCATTAAAAAGCAGCTACAGGTCAGTACAAAATAGAATACTGTAAAACGGGTATTGTTAGCGAGGGGTAATTGTTAGCGATTGTTAGCGATCGCTATAGTTTCGCTAAAAATTCAATTCGCTAAAATAAACCGGGCGCTTTTGCAAATTCCTGGGAAACTACATGAATACTAGTATTTAAGGAGCTTTTCGTTCAGTGCTCAACTTCCGGTTTGTAATTTGAAAAGGTAAATATTTTTAAATCGTATGTTTCTTTCAATATCTGAAGGATAAATAGCCATCCATCATGAGATTACAGTAGTTTGGACCAATACCATGTGCGTTAGAAGTCTTACATTTTGATAATTCCTCTGTCATGTCCGTTATTCATTCTTCTGCCATAAATGATGAAAATTTCTAATGCATTTCGCTAGACTAATTTGATTTTTTAAAGATTAATCTTCATTTCGCTAAAATTTCCCGCGCTAAAACCCCCTAAAATTGAAAAATCGCTAAAATTTCCCGATGTCAAAATTACCCGTTTTACAGTATATCAAATATCAGCCATCAGATCATGCAAGGTCACATTTAGAATTAAAGGTCACATACATGTACAGTATATTCCATGTTTATTCACAATTTGGGGATATTGATTTAAACCTAAAAAAGAAAGACAGGAAAATATTCAAAATCTGTTGGAATGCATTGTGAAAAGAAAAGATTTCCAAATTGTATCTACTTGTATCTGAAATCAACTTAGCCTTCTATTTTCTTATAAAAGTATACTGATACTGTAGACATATTCATTATTAATGCATATTAAGTGGAACACCTCCATAAGTGAAACACTATTTGAGATACCTAAAGTGTTCCTTTACTGTACATTTCTTTATTGTGTTAAATTGAAAAGTGTAATATAACACAATGTATCATCATTCACTGTAGGTGTTAGCTGGTATATACCCTATAGCCCAAGTGAGGGAGCCCTACAGTGTAGTGATGTATCTAGCAGAGAGACTTCCTCTAAAACAACTACTCAAACTACAGCAACATCCAGAGGCAGAAGGTCTCCAAGATAAAACAGAGAGGGAATGGTCAGCTTTTGATATATGTGATGGTACGTACTGTGATTAAGTGTGATTAATTGTATCTCAGCCTTACCTTCATGTATTCAGAAGTGATTGTACTTCAGTTTGGGATACATGTACTTTGAAGTGATTGTTTGTATCTCAGTCTTGACTCCACATACTCGGAATTGGGTGTTTCTATTTTAGTCTGGGCTACATGTACTCAGAATCGGTTGTTTCTATTTTAATCTAGGCTACACTTTTTCCTTCAGCCTGAGCTCTGGGCCTGGGCTACTTGTTCTCTAAAGTTATTGTTTCTATTTTAGTCTGGGCTACATGTACTTAGGATTGGTTGTTTCTATTTTAGTCTAGGCTGCACTTTTTCCTTCAGCCTAAGCTCTGTGCTACTTGTTCTCTAAAGTTATTGTTTCTATTTTAGTCTGGGCTACATGTACTTAGGATTGGTTGTTTCTATTTTAGTCTAGGCTGCACTTTTTCCTTCAGCCTAAGCTCTGTGCTACTTGTTCTCTAAAGTTATTGTTTGTATTTCAGCCTGGGCTACTCAGAGAGGTTTCATAATGCCTAAGACTGGGAAGACAGATCTCTACAGGGCTGCGAACCACATACTGCGTATAGCTGTTGATGGTCAATTGTGTATGTGTATGAGACCATTGGGCTTCAATGCTGATAAAGGTAAATAAGTTGCAAAATTCCATATGTGTGGCATGTTAGATTCAAAAATACATGTAGACCCATTAAGTGTTAGCAACAATTACATGTTTTATGGTCCTTTGGTCACCATTCTATCAGGTTTAAAGGGTTCCGATAAGCATCCCGTATAAAAACAATATGGCGGCTCCAGGCGAATCAACTGGATTAGTCCATTTTTAAGAAATAAGGGGAGTTCTGTAAAATCCAGTTTATAGAAATTGTCTTTGAGATAAAGTAATCCGTTTATAATGATTTTGAAAACGTTATCAATAGAGTGATTGCGTTCAAAGAATACATGCACAACAGCCAATATAAATTATTGTATTAGAACCGCTTTGTTTCATTTGTAGAATATTTCATATGCCAAGCTGTGTGCTATTACGTTATGGGGAAATTTAGATGCCAATTTTTCCTTATTATACACAAATAGAAGATCCTGAAACTTCACCCATAAATGTGGAATTGATTTGTCAAAATAAAAATCACCCTTTTATAAATGTGTGACGATCTATAATTTACTTATGCTATATAACAGTTAGATGTGTTGACACAACGACATCGAACCTGTGAACCCTTGAGTATTATTCCGGGATCGGGCCTTTTATACTAAACGGTGAGCAACACCAGAAACGAGCGTTCGATTTGCTAAACGATATGCGTCACCCTTTAATTGTATGTTATAGCCATTATTTTTGTGACTGATGTTTAGTGTGAACATTTTGTTCCAGCATCAGGGTTTGTTACAGTTGTTACAGTTTTGTAACCATATGGAGGTGGTAACATTTTCTTATATTAATACCCTGTCTATCATTGCCTTTAACAAACATTTCTGTTTCAGCAAACTGGGAACAGCATGCAGACACTCAGGAACTAATGCAACAATTGCAGCAATATACACTTAAGACAGACTCTGAGGAATCTGACATGGAAGTGGAAGATAGCTCTGAGGGGGATGGAGGAAGTTCTGATGAATCTGGAGAGACAGAGAGTGAAGAAGAATCACAGGAAGGAAATATTGAAACTGCCACAACTAGAAATCCATTTGCATTGTTGGACAGCGATTAATTTTCCAGATCTGTGATAGAATATGTCACAATGCAAATGCTTTTATATTGGCCTGAAATGAAATATCTAGGGCTGTGGTTAATATTCTTAATATATAAGAAAATCATACATTTCATTCCATAACAGAGAAAGGAGTGGAATAAGAAATTTTAAACATGGATGGCCAAAATAGTGGAAGGGATATATGGTACTGCTGAATTACAGTAAAATCTTCATATGTCATGATATACAATGTAGGGTAAAGATCTTGTTTTTGCCCCATTTGTGATGGTTTTGAAATGTGACATTGGCATTATGCGACCTCTTATTTTCCTGGAAATGTGACAGTTTTTGGTGTAGGTTTATTTTTAGAGCTAAATTTGGGTACATACAGTATGATCAAACTTTGTGAATTGCATCGTGAAAGAACTTTCTCAGCATCCTTATAAATGTACACAGCCAATCTGCAACAGTACCATGTGGTACCATTTTGGAAATGGTACTGCATGGTACCATTAAATATGGTACCATACGGTACTGTATACTAAATCGGTACTATACGATACTGTAAACACTGTACGGCACTATACTCCAATGGTACCGGATGGTACCATCTTAATGTGCTGTATGATACTGTGATTTGAGAGTGCGGATTGGGGGTGTATATGACTTTCTAGAAACTCTCTATGTGATGAAACCATCTGTTTGAATGAATATCTTAGGCACCTTATATGAGACTTATCTTCTGTATTATACTTGACAGTAAATTATAAAGTCCCTGTCTCTAAGATAATATTCTGGGGACATAGCGCTGTGTCATAACTTTCTGGACACCCTGTTTGTGTCAGCATTTTCTGGACACTGTATGTGAAGGTACTTTCTGAAGTTTGTGACCAATGATGGAGAAAAGTTTTTCTTCGCCCTAGTTTGTGACAAAATCTTTCAGACACCCTATATATGAGAACACATTCTTGATGTCACATCTACCAACTTAAGGCAGAGGTGACAGGCAGAGGTGACAGGCACATATCTCCAGTTTCCTAAATTACATTTATGTTATAGAACTTTCTCAAAACACTTTATATGACAACTTTCTAGACGTATGTGGTATCTCGAACATGTCAGTCAGAAAGTTTGATCAGATGTACTTGAAACCTTTACTTGGTAGATGTGTCAAGTTGCACTGTTTCTGAAAGTCAATCATGATGCGCATGCTGTTGAATCATGTTCTCCAGATTTTACTGTTTTTTATGTCTGTTAATTGTTCATAAAAATACACAATATTTGCAATAAGCTTTATTGGTTTAGTTTAATCTAGTCATGCATACACAGTGCACATCATGTAGACACTGCAATGTATGAGTGTACGTTTAAGTTGCACATATTCAGAAGGATGTGAACGTGCAATATTATGACCTCTGGGATTTTTAATGATGATATCCACTGATCATTTCTGAATCTTCACTCACACATTGCATTTTTCCAAAAATTATGCTGCAAATGACGAGTTTCATATTATTGTTTTGTGTTTGGTAATATTTGTGGTCTTAAGTTAAGATAATTGCCTTATACAAAGAGTATTATTTTATAACACCAACACTAAGATAGTGTGAAAGGAACATTTGGAACAACATGTATAAAAAAAGATCTTTGGTCCTTAATCTCCGATAGGGATATAAAATACATAATTTTGATGGTAACTTTGAACTCCAGGAGAACTGTTTTTTGAATACATGTATTTTCCATTGGAGTTTGTCACTTGACAATGTAACAAGCTTGTATTGTTTTCGCAGGATGAATGTTAATAAACCCTTCAAAACATATTATATATAAATCCCAAATAACAGTATAAGTCAAATGATTTGCTTGTTTTTAATCTATTTAAATATCACAATTATTAATTCATTTAACATTCAATATTTCAATCTATTTCAATTTACTTTAAATGTAATGACATAAATGATGTTTCCTTGAAATCATGGTCATGTCCGTTTATTGTCATTATTACTCATAATCTGTAGAAGGGGTGTATCTTATGTGTTGACTAACCACCAACAACCAAAACAGTGATGATATGGCCAGCTTGTACCAAAGCTACCCTTAAAATGGTTGCATTTCCAAGGCAACCGTGAAACAGTTGTTTTCCAGCAGCCCCAACATCTTAATAAGTGATAAAAATCGAAAATTAACATAGAAATTGAGATTTTCAGATTATGAAGCATTATGAAATAAGAGAACTTAACATTTTTATATGTTGTCTAATTCCTGCCTTAATCCATTTTACATATAAACATATTCAGTATGTTCATATATACTGCAGGGTAAATTGTCAGTTGTAAAAAAACAGATCTTATCTTAAGATAAGCTTACATTTGTAGCTATATTATATATATCCTTAAAGGCCCCATATAAAGTTTAAACCACTTTGGCTTATATTGTAGTCTTACCCAATGTTATCAAAGTGTGATATGTGAAACTTTTTTTTTAATTTCAAAAAGTGGTTTTTGATAGACTTTTTGTTCCAAAATTTGTGAATTTATTTAAAACCAACTTTTAGAGGTCACTCATATCTTCTAATTAGCCACAATTCATACCAATGTATAGCATTCATCCTCCCATGTTTTTGCCGAAAAAATTAAGAAAATCGGTTCATAAATAAGCGAGAAATGAACTTATCATTGCATGAAAATGGTTCTGAGAAAAATGCATTTCAAAATTTTAGTTCTCATAGATACCAATGCTACAATGATATCTAAAACATAATTTATTCTTCCTTTTAACCTGGTTAGACAATCAACATTGGTTTTTTATGAAAGTCTAACATATTTAGGAAAGATTGACATCAAAAAGAAAATTTCAATTTAAAAAAAAAAGTTTTTGGTACCTTAGTGCTATCACTAATGTTTCAAAATATTTTTGATATGCTAAAACATTGAAGTGGCCCATTAAATATGGCATTTTATTATTGAAATAGTGTGTCCTTTGTTCAATCTTTGCATTGGTGGTAAAAAGATTTTTTTTTTTTGAAATGCATTAAGAAATATTTGATGATTAAGAAATTTCAACTTTTTTTGAAAAATGGCGGGAAATTTGAATATTTGAGAAATGAAATGCTCACGATTTTTTTTTCAAATTTTTTTTTGGTTCAAAAATCTCTAAAATCACTTTTTAAGTCCTGACAAATAGTAAATGAATGATATAAAAATATTTTCAAACTTTAGACGGGGACTTTAATGACTTTTGTTACGTGGTATATGGCATACATTCATGGTTGCGCGGTATTTGTGATACGGGTGAATATGCCATACTCACCTGCGGTATATGGCATATTCCGCAGGTGAGTATGCGATATTCCGCAGTGAATATGCGATACATTGATTTCAGTGAATACCCGATACTCACCTGCGGAATATGTCATACTCACTTGCTGAATATGCCATATACCGCAGGTGAATATGACATACACCGCAGGTGAAAACGTGATACAGAAAGCCTTGATTTGATTGGTTGCGAGAATCGACTCTAAATGTAAAACTACGCTGTATTACCATTATAGTTAGTGCGTTGCGTACTAATATATGAATCCTGGATTGATTGAGTAAGTTTATTACGCAAGATTGGTGACTGATACTTCTGCTAAGTTAATATATTCGATACATAGTACTGTTGATTCAGTAATCATTACAATAATTAATAACGTTTTACTATTTCGTTCAATCGATGCAATTGACAATTGCGTACTTCCGTATCACGTTCTCATTGGTTAGTTTGCATCCCATATACCGCAGGTGAATCTGTCATACACCGCAATTGAATATGCCATATTCGTTGCGGAATATGACATATTTTTGTATTGTGTTTACCGCGTAACAACTTTTTGATGTCATCACAATGACATATTAGTCAGCACAATGTACTAGAAAAAAAACTGACAAGGATACAAGACAAAATGAGCGCAAAATAAGATGAGGTCCTGAAGGAGCTAGACGATCAGAAGAACTTCTTAAATTGTAACAATGAGTTTTTATAATTTCAAAAATTATATTGGTCACATCTTAAACATTTTGACACAATTCAAAAGGCAGCAATTTTCATAGCAATTAATCACAAATTATATTTTTATAATCCATCCATTTAAATAATAATATCTTTCTTGATGTAATGTTACATTGTGTTACTGACAGTGACTAGTTTTTTCATAAGGGCAGATTAATGAACTAACTTTTCCTTTGATCCGAGTAACAAAAGAATTATCAGACAAAAGAAAGTAAAAGCGTTAACACATTTGAATAGGAGGATTTATTTACCGATACACATATGTGAAATATATCTAAAATGAAAATAAAAGGCATTCAGAGCTATAACACAATGTTGTTCATTTTTACAATAAACTAGTTTGTTTCTATACATTTTCAAATTCTATACATGCTATTAAACCTGTAATCATGTTTCATACTTGCTATCTATTATTGTTTGATGAAACTCCATACCTGTTTGATGAAACTCCACAAAGCCACCACTTTCAATAAACAAGTCATTGGAATTTCTATAACATTTAATAGTTTCAAATAATTTATTTGAAAATCTGCTCTGAAAATAGTTTTAACCATTGAAATACATATTCATTAGTTTCAATGGCAGATATAATGTCTATTATTTCTTTTGAGGCTTTAGAAATGAATAAAACCTTAAAAATATATTGTTACCAGCTTGAACATTCTCCTGAATCATTTTGCATTCTGGTAAGTTCAAACATTTTCAAAAAGACATAAGTAGGGCTAGTTAGCAGTATAATTGCACTTGCTTATATTTTGGATATTTACCAAAGTGGTGTTAAAAGTTGTCCCAGTGGATAATAAACAGGCCTCGAAAATTTTCAACGTTTCCATTGAGCGCCATGTTAATTTATCAATCTTCAAAAGACCCCTGTAGAACAGTTCAAGAGCAATAAAGTCAATATTCTAAGTATGTAGCCAGAACTTGAATGTATTTGAAGTGAGATGGGTTACAAGCTGGATTTTGCCTTGTTCCAAAGATATTGGCGTTTGAATTTTGGAAAATCCTTTATGACCTTCATAATAAACTATCATGAATATGGCTTTATCAATAAAGTCCACCATGAAATTTTCTGACATTGCAGATTTCTATAGCCAATATATTGACTTTTAAAAAACAAAACAGGCACACTTCTAAAGATTTCTTATTTTGCTCACGAAAACTTCATATGATGACTTATGATATGTAAGAGAAACGAGTGAAACAATACTTACAACCAAGTGGGACAAGTGGGATCTTCATTAGCTGCCATTTTATTTCAATCCACAGCTTTTCTAAGTAAATGAAACGCTCCTTCGTGCATGTAGGAGCGTTTGGGTTATACACCGTGTACCAGGTCGATCAATAAGTTCTGA